TATTGAGGGTACAGGTGAGGAGCAGCTCCGGCCGGACTGGCCGCAATGAGTAATCCCCACAGGCCGTAAACACCAGCAGAAGCCCAACGCCGCTGCCGTTCTCCGTCAGGGGCTAAGGCTGCATGTACACGCTGCCTCCGAATCCTTCTCGGCCGGAGGTTCTCCTCCGCCACCTGCTTTCTGGCTGGGCTCATGGTGTTTCCGTGCACAGAGCTCCCAGGGCCCTAGCGGCGGTCGCATACATTTCAACTCCACCTTTCACGACCCCGGATAAGGCAAGTGTACGTGTGGAACAGGGTCGCCACCCTGGATTAGAACCAGTCAGCCGAGCCCAGCCAGTGTGGCTCAGTGGGTGGGCATCGGCCCGGGCACCAAAGGGTGGCAGGTTTACCCCCTGGTCAAGGGCACGCACCTGGGTTGCAGATTCAGTCCCCAGCCTGCATGCAGGAGGCAATCAATTGATGTGTCTCTCGATGTCTCTCCTTCTCACTCTCTTTACCCCACTCTCTCTAAAAAGCAATGAAAATATATGTATATCCTTGGGTGAGGATTAACCATAGAAAAAGAAAAACCGACAGCCTAGGCACTGCCCCCCTTTAAAAGCCCCAGGAGAGCTGTCATGACCCCACAGCAACACCAGTGTTATTCAAAGGGATCGCAATCGGCATCTACTCACATGCAACTGCACTCCATCCCGTACGGCTGCCACAAAGAGACAGCGGACTGAAATGAAACACTGCACACTCCACGAAAACCAAGCTGACAAAAGCTGGGGAAACAAGGAGAAATGCTCGAAGGAGAAAACGGTGGGACTATTTCTCTGCAATTCCTGGAGGAGTTTTGAATGTTTAGAAAGAAGGAATATGGATCAGAAACCAAACCTAGTTAGGTGCCTGAGAGACAGTAGGTGACCTACAGAAAGAAACGAGATTTCCAAAAGAAAAGTGTTTTTTAATAAATACATAAAAATTAAATGGGATATAAAATGTTTCCTAATAACTATGTTGATATCACTAAAATGTTCAGCGTATAAGATCCAGCTCCTGTCATTTAGAATGTTATCATCTGTCCTGGCCAGTTTGGCTCAGCGGTTACAGCGTCAGCCCACAGACCAGAGTCGCAGGTTCGATTCTGGTCAAGGGCATGTACCTCGGTTGCAGTTGGGTCCCTGGCCCTGGTTGGGGTTGTATGGGAGGCAACTAATCGATGTGTCTCTCTCACATGGATGTTTCTCTCTCTCTCTCTCCCTCCCTCCCTCCCACTCTATCTGAAGATAAATGAAAAAGTTTCCTCAGGTGAGGATTAAAATAAACCGTTTACTAATAACTACGTCAATATCACTAAACTGTTCCGAGTGTTAAGACCCGGTTCCCATCGTTAAGAACTTTATCATCTAACTTGGCGTGAGGGAAAGAAAGATTAGACGGTGTTATGGACTGAATGTCTGTGTTCCTCCAAGACCTCTAGGTTGAAACCCTACCCCCTGCCATGTGATGGTGGGAGGAGGCAGGCCCCTGGGAGGTGGTTAGGCCTGGATGAGGTGATGACGTGAAATCCCCGTGAATGGGTGAGTGTCCCTGTGCGACCTGCAGCCAGCAGCCTGCCGGCTGGAGAGGACACTGGCCAGGACACAGCCACCAGCCCCCACAGCTGCGGGAAACACACGGCTGTTGCTCACGAGCCGCTCCAACCAAGTATGTTTGTTGTCGCAGCCTGAACTGACTAAGATGGAAGGCAGGCGGCAGAAGGCGGCTTGAAACAGATACACAGGCGCACACACAGCGATCACGTAGCACTGAGAGGTAACCGTTAACCAGCACTGGAAGGCAGTATTTTCTCGTGTCAAGTACTGGACACAGACACAGAAAGGCAGGATCAGAACCCTCCTGCAGACGAGAGGACTGCAGGACGCTCTCTGAGGAAGGAATGTGTCAGGCTGAGGGAACCTAAGCCTGTGTGAGGCACACGGGGCTACCTGAAGACACGCCGCCCAGAAGAGTTTAGGGAAACAGGTAGCACGAGGGCTCACTGATCCGGTTCCGGTCCTCAGAGCTGTTCAGGCAGCGCGCCCACATGGAGTTGGGAGGGGCAGCTGCCTGGACGGGGTCCGCGGAGCATGACCCGGGAGGTGGTCAGAATCACACATTTTCAGCTCTGGCTCAGTGGTTTGAACGTCAGCCCACAGACCAGAGTCATGGGTTCGATTCCAGACAAAGGCACGTACCTTAGTTGCAGTTCGTCCCTGGCCCTGGTTGGGTCGTGCAGGAGGCAACCAGTCAATGTGTCTCCCTCACATCGATGTTTTTCTCTCTCTCTCTCTCTCCTTCTCACTCTACCTGGAGATAAATGAGAAAATATCCTCGGGTGAGGATGAAAAAAAAAAGAAATACTGCCCAGTCGGTGTGGCACACTGGCTGAGTGTCGACCCTGCACCAAGAGGTCGCCGGTTCGATTCCCGGTCAGGGCACATGCCCAGGTTGTGGGCCCGATCCCCAGTGGGGGGCATGCAGGAGACAGCCAATCGATGGTCTCTCTCACCGATGTTTCTCTCTCTCCCTCTCCCTTCCTCTCTAAAAATCAACAAAGAAAAAAAAAAAGAAATACACATTTTCAGGCTCCACCTCAAACCTGGGAGTCACGTTGGGGGGGAGCCCAGCAGCGTGGGCTTGAGCAGCCCTCCGTGCGGTCCTGACGTGAGCTCGGGTTCAAGAAGCACTCCTGACTTCATGGTGAATCCAACTGCCGCACGCCTTCAAGTCAATCCTTCAAGAAACATACTAACAGACTGGTGGCTGCCAGAGGGGAGGGCGTCGGGGGCCTGGGTGAAGGGATTAAGAAGTACAAATTGGCAGTTACAAAACAGTCCCAGGGATGTAAAGGACAGCGTAGGGAATGCAGTCGGTAATGTTGTAACAACTGTGTACGGTGCACACAGTTAGACAGCGTAGGGAATGCAGTCGGTAATGTTGTAACAACTGTGTACGGTGCCAGGTGGGTGCTGGAAACACCGGGCGGGGCATTTTGTAAAGTGGGTGACTGTCTAACCACTGTGCGGTACACCTGAAACCAATACAGAATAATAACAACTGCCAGCTGTAATTTAAAAAAGTATGTAAGTATGTAAGTAAGTAAAGAGATATACAAGAAACACGCTATAAACTTGAGGGAAATAGGGATCTATATTATCTGACGCACAGAAAAGATTCAAGCTCTTAATTCCAGACTTCCTTTAACTACTATCCCCGCCCTTCCTGTTGGCCCCTCTGTGTTGGAGTCCTCTCCATGACAGCTTTAAACCTGTGTGAATGGGAAGCTGGGGAACTCTCTCCCATTTGATGTGTGACCAAACAGACCAAGCCCCTCCTGCTTCGGGCATGGGTGTGCGGTGAACTGGGCATGGGCCATCCCGGCTCACACCGTCCCTTTCCGCAGGACCACTGCGGAAGGAGGGTGACCGACTGAACTGTTCCCCAGTGCTCGTGGTACATGCTTGCCGACAGGAACGACTGAGAGATCTGGTTTTTGCTTTAAACACGCCCGCGCACACACACAGGCGCACCCAAGTCCACCCGCAGCGTGCCCAGGATTGCAGGGACCTGCGGCCATGGTCACTGTCGCTAGGGTTACTAAAGAGAAAAGAGTATATTCATTCCGGAAACATCGTGGTAACACTGACGAGTATGCTGAGTAATATGTAATTTAAATCCACAATACACAGCCTTCAGCATACATATATGACAATCTTGCGGGGGGGGGGGGGTGTCCTCATCTGGAGACTCGGATTCCCTACGTCAAGTTTCACTTTGATTTTCAGTTAGATTTCCAGTCTTTAGATCACCCTCCCCCCCATTTTAGCACACCGAAGTTCCCCAGCCTCTTTTAATACTTAACAAGTTCCTAATGACTTCAGTGACTCCAGCGGTAACTAAAAAAAGCCACGTAATGTGAGCACACTTTGCAATTCCACCTCGAGTCCCAAGGACGCACAGCCAGGGTCCAGTGACATCATTACCTAGGATTTATTTTAAGCAACTTTTATTATTTTTTTTTTCTCTCATCCTCACCTGAGGACATGTTCACTAATTTGACAGAGAGATGAAGGGAGGGGATCAGTGTGGGAGGAAAACATCCCCCGGCTGCCACTGGTACACACCCGACAGAAATGGAACTCAATAACTTGTGGCGTACGGGACGACGCTCCAACCAACTGAGCCACCCAGCCAGGGCTGAGAAAAGTCTTTAACTTTAAACACAGGATACCCACATACTCTCAGGCTGAATTATAAAAGGAATTTTGGGTGCAATCTGATTGACTACTCAAGTGATGCCCCGCGATTATTTGTGGGGGTCTTTCTTTTCTTTCTGAGCATTTGTTTGAAATCCGACGCTCTTTCCACGTCCCTCGGCCCCACCCGTCTGCGTCCCCCACAGCCTGGCGCGCACAGAAGGCAGACGCTCCTGCAGCTACCCAGGTCCATGAACTCTGGCTGCACTGGCACTGGCTGTCCCAATAAACCTGAGCTCCTGGGTACATGCCTGGCACTAAACCAACCTGGGAACATACAACAGATATTTCATCCATCAACGGTCAGTTACACAGGGTGCTATGGGGTAAACAGAGCCGAATGACAGCATAAAGCCTTCGAAAATCCACACAACGGAAATATCCGTCTACAGATAGTTTCAACAGTCTATCGCCCCAAGGCACGCACTCTCGTGTCTCCAGGAGTCTGTATCACCAGAGAGAACACCCCGAGGAGGACAATAACAAATTTCCTTTGTGCAACCCAAAACTGACATGACCTGAACTTGAGACAGCACCCGTGCACCCCTTCCACACTGGGAACACAGCTACCGAGGAAAGGCCTTTGGTAGGGCCCCGCCGATCAGAGAACTGAGGTCCTCAGATCTAACAGCGTCAGTGCCCTGGCCATTGTCAGCTTCACAAGGACCCAAGCCCGTCTTCCCTCGGCACCGAGCAGAAGCCCCGTGAAACTTACTCAGAGGATGCCCAGTCCCGGTTGGTGACGAGGTGGTTTTTGTCTGGTCCGGGAAGCCCATGGACAGCGGTCATCGTGGGAAATGAGGGGGAAAGTGAGTCCAGACTGCTGGTCGGGGTGTCCTCCTTCGAAGGGCTCGGACTGTCACCTAGGGAGGGAGAGGAAAGAAGACATCAACTTTCAAACAGATACTCAGAGGAGAAAAACTACTCCACTAATAATTATACATCACCTGATTAGTCCAATTATATCCAAAATAACATTTAGAATTCAGCCTGAGAGTACTGGGCGTCTATCTTTGAAGATTTTGGGGTGTGTGTGTGTGTGTGTGTGTTTTACATCAGAGATGCTTAAAGTATATCATGGAAAAGACACAGTGAGGAGCGTTTTCCCCCTGAGAAAACAATGATCAAAAGCGGATCAAACGGCAGAGGAAACCGCACCGGCGGGCACGGCTGCCCGGGCGCGGGAGCTCGGTGCCGCCCACAGTGACGACCTCCAGAGCACTTCGGAGCAGCGGCCGGCCCACGGGGTCCAACCCCTCACTCCTTAGTCACCTGATGGTTCTTTTTTTTAAACATGCTTTTATTGATTTTTTTAGAGAAAGGAAGGGAGAGAGAGAGAAGCATCGATGTGAGAAACACTGATTGGTCGCCTCTCATACACACCCTGACCAGAGACTGAACCCACAACCTGAGCATGTGCCCTGACCACTCGTCGAACCGGTGACGTCCTGGAGCACGGGACGACGCTCAGCCAAATGAGCCACATCGGCCAGGGCACCTGGTGGTTCTTTAACCCACTGCCAGTCATCACTGAATGCTTAATAAACTTAAAAATTCTGAAGGGGCCCTGTCTTCCGAGCAGGATGACAATTTAATAGCCCAACTTACTAAAATCCCGGACACAGAGAAACTTCCGTTTCCCTGTGCACATGAGGGAGGATGTTTTGGAAGACTCGGGCCCCTGTGGGGACTCCAGAGGACGTCACACCAAAATGCAAAGGATTTCAAAAATGAGCCGCATGATTTATTCTCTCAGAGGACCACTTCGTGAACTAGGGTTAGCATCATTTATACACATTATGGTGGAAAATGCAGAAGATGGAAAAAAGAGCCCCCCAAAAGCAGCTGTTTCCCCCAACTGGTCTTTTTTGTTTGCTTTTTGTTAATCCCCACCTGAAGATACTTTTTCCCATTGATCTTCAGAGAGTAGGAAGAAGGGAAGGAGGGAAGGAAGGAGGAGGAAAGATACATTGATGTGAGAGAGACACATCAATTGGTTGCCTCAGAAATGATCCTGACTGGGGCCAGGGACTGAACCTACAACCCAGGTACGTGCCCTTAACTGGAATTGAACCCGAGACCCTTCAGTCCCCAGGCCTATGCTCTAACCACTTAGCTAACCAGCTAGGATGAACTGGTCTTGGTATCAGAGTATCTCAGCTGCTACAGGTGCACCTGAACAGCACCCATCATGACTTGGACCCCCTCAGCCAGACCGACTCCCCTGAATAGTAACTGTTCTGTTAAGACGGCACTGATCGGGCATTGGTTTTATAGGTCATGGGGCACAGTCGCTGACACACAAATGCCGCACAGAAGCAGGTAACACAGCGTGGGACTGCGGACCCCAGGCACAGAGCTTCCGCCGATGGAGCCTTACACTGCGCCTCAGTCCGGTCCTGGGAACGGGGTACGCCAGCATGCCCGGGCCAGGGAGCCTGCCTAGAACACCGTCCTACACGGAGTTCAAACCTGCTACAGTAAAGCACACGGACATGTGGGGCTCTGATGAAGGTAACTCCCAAGACGCTAATCTGGAAAACTGACTCTATGAAATCATTCTTATTTAACTCTGATCCAGCTTACAACCAAGGCTGAGGGAGAGGATCTCGGAAATGGAAATCCAGAGAAGCTGAATACGGGAAGTAGCTGCCGGAGGCCCCGGGGAGGGCCTGCCGGAGTCCAGCCCCTTGTTCTTGGGCTCCTTTGCAGAAAGGAGCTGGATGGCCGTGAGCCGTCCAGGCACAGGGGCGCAGCAGCCTTTGCGAGTGGGCTACAGCCAGAACAAAATCAATCAAACGGGAGTCATCATGGTCGATCACTGGGCTTCAGTTCTTTTGCCTGAAATTGCCCTTTCTATTTGGGGCTGACTGGCCCCGACTAGCTAACCACTTTCTCAGTGAAGGGCCTTAGAGATGGAGGCGACGGCTGGGAGAAGGGTCTTTGTGGGGTGGCGATGGGAAGATGCCCGGACGATCCTGTGCAGAAGATCCTGGTCAGGACGTGTCCTGCACCTCTCTGCCGCACGTGTGAGCGGTGGTGGGACAAGAGGTCCCATGATCTCTGCGAGCAGGTCTTCTCCCCGGTCGACAGCGCCCCGCAAAGCCTTGCTCTGGCCCCACTCACAAACGTACAACACAGCCTAAAATACGGTATGATTCCTCCGTCACTGAAGTCACTTTTTCCATGGTCCTACACCACAAGGTATTTAGCTAACTGGAGTCATTCAGCCCCAAATAAAAGGACCAGTGTTTAGACAAAAGAACTGAAGCCCAATGATAGACCATGATGACTTCCATTTGATTGACTTTTGTTCCAGCCACAGTCCACTCGGAGGCAAAGGCTGCTTCTCCCCTGTGCCTGGACGGCTCACGTCCATCTCGCTCTTTTCTGCAAACGAGCCCAAGAACAAAGGGCTGGACTCTGTCAGGCCCTCGCCGGTGTCCCTCCGTCATCACGAGCCAGGGCTCCCTTCACAGTGAACAGCATCTCATGCGTAAGCCCAGTACGTACGGGGTCTACAGTGAACCGCTGACAGTGACCTACACGACAGCTGCTGCCTCGGGCTCGGCTGGGAGCGGCAAGGCAGGGCCCCTTCTGAAGCAGACAGGATAACCTAACAGTGAGTCAGGCACAAGCAGCGCCCTGGCCTCAGAGGCTGGACGCTGGCCCTCGGCCCTCTGGGCCCTGTTCCCCGACTGCAGGGCGTGACATGACGAAAGCAGCAGATGACAGCCTGGGGCCAGCTTGCTCCCTGATTCACTCCCACAAGGAGAAACCTGTCAATGAGAAGCGACTGTGGGGAACTGGAGGGCAAGGGTCCAAGGTGACTTTCAAAAGATACCTGAACTGCATTGCCCACCAGATACCCCAGCTCGTCAACACAGCCTCCAGTTCCTTCCCCAAGCCGACTGACACAGCATCACTGAACACAGTAAATCACGTTCCAGCAGAAGTTCTCGCTTCCTTTCGGCCAAACAGTGGCGACAGGAACCCTTGAGTGAAAACAATATTGGTACAGGGAGTATGTTTACGCCAACTGACCCAGCGACGCCATCCCTCGCCCTATGTCCATGGGTATGAAGGCCGTTTCCCTCACTCTTTGGGGATGAGCTCATTCACCTGAGAATTGCTGAATTCGAGGGAACTCCACCACCAAGCACACAAACAGGAAATTCTCATAGGCATGTCTGAAACTTTAGTTCGCCAAAATCAAATTACTCCTCTTCACCTAGTATGAAAATAATACGATTTAAACACACACAAATTCTATGCTCCGTGATTTCTGGAATGAAGAGTATTAACTCCTATGAGACTAAGTTGTACCTGAGAATCAAAGTCAGAGGCTCTCATCACGTCTCACCTTCCACGAATGTCACACCACCTCCCTTAGGTATTCCCATCACCGGCTTCCACGGACAGACCAGTCAGTCACCTGTGGGCAACGACGCTGTCCCAGGTAGGTGGACACCAACGGTGCTGAAGGGCTTGTTATGAACTGGCTCTAAGACGAGAAACTCACTAGAAGCAGAACTACCACCATCTAGAAGACAGAATGACGTCCTCACATCGGCTTAATTCTCACCTTCTGCACAAAGCACCTGCCAACCACCGTCCCTGCGTCTTCTCTCCCTTCTCACAGCCGGAAGCAGAAGTCAGGCTCGCGTTTCACCGTCCTCTCCTAGGTCCGTGACCCGGTTCCCCATTTCCATTCTGCATTTAGTGAGGATGGAGCCCATGCCTCAACCCTGGTACTGCTTTGGAGCACACTGCAGAGCCAGGCAAGCCAGGCGCCTTCGGAAAGCACCGCCGTCAGATATCACGAACACGGAGAGCCAATACCCGCGGGAATTAGGACGTGAAATGAAACCTACAAACCTCCAAGTTGTTACAGAATCTGCCCACAGCTGCCAATTACCATCCTCTCCCCTTTCCAGTCGCACACGTTTCTAATTCCCTATATTCAATCAACAAGCATTTACTGAGCTTCTACTCATGTACGAGGCACCCCGCGGGTGCTGAGTTATAAAGGTGAAGAGTCCGCCCCTCGCTGAAGATGTCCACAGCTGAGGCAGAAGACCATCTGATAAAGACGAACAGCAGAAAGTGGTGTGTACACGCTCTAACGTGATTGTATCGAGCAGCTGTGAGATCCAGAGAATGGAATTTCCAAACTGCCCATGGTAGGGTGAAGGTTGTGGGCGCCAGGCAACAGGAATAGGAAGAGATTATCGTCAGACTCTCGAGCAAAGACCCCCTCGTAGAGGACTGTCCAGACTGAAAGCGTAGACATAAGAGTGTGGCCAATGTGAGAGCTACAAGTAGTTGGCATTGTCTAGGGAACAGGGTCAAAAGCAGACAGCAGGCGCATGAAGTAGGGTAAAGAGTTTTGAATATACCACGGTGTGTGAATGTGTCCTATAGCACTGGCACGTTACTGCTGGGATTCAGCAATGAAGTGATATATCCCAGAGAAGGGGTTCAAGTGGGATTCAGGTGCTGCAGTCATTAGGACTCTATGAATATGTGGGAAGGGAAAAGGGGGAGCCTCAGGTGACCCTCAAATTCTTGGCCTAGGAAGCTAGGTGGATGGTTGGATTATTCACTGGAATGGGAAATAAACCAACAGGGTAGGAGAGATAACAGCACTGGTTGTACACAGCTTGAGTTCAAGTGCCCAAAAAATCCCTCTGAAAATACCCAGGAGAGTTGGTGCCACCACCATGGAGCTCAGAAAAGAGGTGTGGGAGACTTTCACTGATCTGGGTCATGTCAACAGAATCGCTGTCATTGTATTGGCTGGAGAAGACAAAGGAGAAAATGCAGAGATGTAAGAGAACCCTGGGTGAACTTCGGATGTAAG